AACACTTGCTTACTGCATGTCTAACATTTTATTGGAATTGTAAGTAAATGACTCTTACAGAGAATATGGAGTTGATGATTTGTGACCACTAAGAAAAGCAGTCTATTCAATTTCTCTCATTACTATCTAGGCATCATCAGTTTCAGCAGCTCCAGGAACTGTCTTGCCAACCATGACTATTGTTAACAGTATCACATTTTGCTGCACTACTGGAAACTTGCTTTCATCTGAATGGCTTCCAAAAAGCTGTGAAGCAGTGGAAGTCACTACAGAGAAACCAACTTAGACTCTTAGGAAGTTTCACTGAGAGCCACCACCTTCCCATTTTTACAGTCCAAAAGTGGGATGGGCCATTAATGATACAACTGGTCCCATACGAAATGATAGTCATGTCTTGCCAATCTAAAGGCAGGCTGGTATTATGTAGGACTTTGTCAGAAGGAAATGTTCAGAAGCAGAACATGGCAACAAATGCCATGAAACAGAGAAGGCTCCTGTGGTCTGGAAATGGGAATGTATAATCAAGCAGCCTTCAGCTTTGACTTAAACAGCCAGGACTCCTGTCAGATTTTTCTGAGAGATGTCATTTTAAACTTCTCATTTACTATTAACTTTAGTTTACTAAGATCCAGAAAAGGTATTTCCCACATACCTTTCTTTAGAATGACAAATACAAGGGAGAAGGTTTTGCCTAGCTCAACTTGGGACACATATACTATCTGCCTGGTTAAAGCATGAGAAACTTGGAAAAGGATGCCATGGCCTCTGGGGTGACAAAATTCTGACAATCTCAATGGGGAAGTACTGAACCAAGTACTCCAAATGAGATGTTATTGAAGTCAATCACCTATTCTAAGTCCAGCCAAACCTGCGGAAAAAGTTGTAGCTCAAGTCTTGATACTATATTGGGAGATCTGATAAGTCAAGAAAGATTCTGAACTCTTAAACAGACTGGTCTTTATTTGATATTGAGGTTTTCTACTGATGTAGGATTTAATCATCCTCCACAGTAAAAACTAATCCTGGAAGCTATCATCTATAATTCTAGTCCTAGGTAAGAAATGTGGGTACATTTTGTGCATCTCCCATAATTACGACATTGGCCTACAGCCAAAACAAGGAAATGCTATTGAAAGGTTATTGGAGGGCTTCAATAGCATCATTTTGGGAAAAGATATGAATGACAATAACAAATACGATTATATTTTTAGCAGCTGCGTTGTTATGGGGGAATCATTCCACTTTCTTATACCAGTCAGATTCTGACCTGTTGGTCCAATTGCCCACCCTATGCAGAAAGCCCTTCTATAACATCTCTGAAAAATGTCAATCCAGCCACTGGTAGGACACTTCCAGCTTATTCTACAGTTGAGCAGATTGTTAAATGCAGCCTGACTCCTTGTAACCTTTGACCTACTGGCCCTGGTTTTGACTGCCGAAGCCACACAAGTCACATCCACTTACTTTTCTACTTGATTGTCTACTTCACTCACATGTGAAGGCAGTTGACATTGTCTAACCTTAGCCTTCTGACAAAGTAACTCTAATTTTCATATCTGGTGATTGTATAATAAATTCCAGATGCTCTAATTTCACCTCCCTCTTCTGAATTAAAAAAATCCTTTATATGCAATTAACACAATTGAATATAATAAGCGAAGTTCAGTCTCACTAGTCCAATGTACACGGCTGAGTAGCACACTACAAATACAGAACAGTAACACAACACACTACAAATACAAAACAAGTGTTACCTTGTTTAGCTAGAACTCGACAATGCAAGCTCTTTTCACTTAAGCTTAAGATTTCAAGCCATGGAATTCTGTTTCCCCCACTCCCCTATCCCGCGTTCTAAAATTCCAGAGAATGCTATGTATTTTTCTTTGACTATGATGGACAACAAGATGACTTTCTCCAAAAGTTTGTCCCTCTTATTTTTCAGAAATAAGTTCAGAGAAGCAATCTCCTTTACTGAAATCTGTTTCCTATGGGATTACACTGTCAAGAGTTTCAGACACTATTGCTTTTAGTAAAATTAGAGCTGCAGCCTCCCTACCACCAACTTGCCTCTACAAGTTTCCTGATGTGTCACAAAAAAAATCATTCATATCCTGTGTGTGGGGGGGAGGAGGGCTAGCAGCAGAGGGATTAAAGAGGAAACAATTTTTCTCATAAGAAATGATTTCTTTTTTTTTTTTTTCCACAAAGTGGTTCAGCCTCTCTGGAAAACAGTTTTATTTATTTATTTATTTTTTTTGTGAGGAAGATCAGCTCTGAGCTAACATACATGCTAATCCTTCTCTTTTTGCTGAGGAAGACTGGCTCTGAGCTAACATCTATCACCAATCCTCCTCCTTTTTGTTTTTCCCCAAAGCCCCACTAGATAGTTGTATGTCATAGTTGCACATGCTTCTAGTTGTTGTATGTGGGACACGGCCTCAGCATGGCCAGAGAGGCGGTGTGTTGGTGCCCGCCTGGGGTCCGAATCCGGACCGCCAGTAGTGGAGCGAGAGCACTTACTTAACTGCTAAGCCACGGGGCCGGCCCAGAAATGATTTCTTAAAGCACACTTATCTAGAAGAAATGTAATCTAGTTCACTAATAAAAAGCACCTATTAGAAGAAAAGTTCCTATTTATGTTGACTATTTTTTTCATTAACAAAAGAACTTAACTCCTCTGGGGCTGGCAACTGATTATTCTCTTAACTGAACTAAATATTTTAGATGAAAAGACTAAACTGTTCTTCTATCATTGATTCATATTCCTTCCTCTGCACAAATCTTATTCCTGTTCCCTGGAAATCAAAAAAAAAAAAAAAAAAGACAAAAACGTGCCTCCCCTCCCCCAATAAAACCTCCAAACTTTAACTGGCTAAGAAAAAGATTTTTTTCCCCCTATGGCTTACTCTATAATGTACAAACACAAAAAACTGCTTGGTCAGGCAGTTACATAGTCCCACTACCTATGTTGCGCTTCCCATGGCATGCTTACATGCACATTAATACAATTGATAACTCACTACCTACAAAAGAGATCACAAAAGGTATTCCCTATATACAGAGAAAATGCAGCTGGATGCATTTATTTAAAAATTCAGTTCTCTCTCATTAATCTAATTAATAATTTAGATTGGATTTACAAAGCTAATTTTTAAAAAAGTTTCTTATATGCCTGGGTTAAATGCAGGGCTTTAAAGCTCTGGTTTAATGTAGACCATTAGAATTTTCATTTTATTACTCTTTTCTTATACCTTAAATTCTTAATCTGATAACCTGTACCTGATAATTTGGGTAAATTGCGAGGGGTGGGTTGGATCCTAAAATTAAGTTTTCTATTTCAGTCTGAACAAACCACATGAAATCTATGTAAAAAGTACTCTGAAATGTTGGGACAGAAGGGAGGATGGGATGGTGGGGGAGGAATAATGTCAATAAGAAGCTAATGCCATAAGGTTAAACCCCTAAATATTACTATTTTCAGATATGAACTCACTAATACACCGAATTCTTGAAAGGTAGCAACTAAGATCTTCCTTGGTTATTTTTACCCCACAGATCAAGTGAACAGAATCTAAGTAACACTACCCTTTGGACTGCATATCAGTTGGTTATGACAGTTTGCCAAATCAGTTGTTTAAGGGTGACCACATGGTCAAACAGGACAACCCAAATTAGCTGAGCAAAGGCAGCACTGATCACAAAAATTTTAGGCTAAATGGCTAAAGAAGTGAGATTTGACTTTAGTATTCCTCTCCTTTCCCTTTCTGCTGCCACAGACTGTTTCTAGCTCTCCTGTCAACGGTCCTCCAAACCTTCTCTCTTAAAAAGGCTCCCCAACGGGAACTCAACAAAGTTCTAATTGATCAAGAAAGCATACCTCCTACTAGTATTTATATTTTAAAACAGGGATAGGTTAAAGCAAACAAATCTCCAATTGGTAGAAAGTGTACAAGCAATGTCTGTGAATAAGGAAATCTTTCTTAACGCTCCTCTGCTCATCATTCCTATTCGAAAAGAACAGAGAGCTTTAAAACCTATCCTTCTGCTTTTTCAAAAAATTATTTTAAACAATTATGTAACGCATAAAATAAAAAATCAGGATTATCAGAACCATGAGACTCTACTCCCATTTTCAATCATGCATGGCCCATTTGAGGATAGAGACAGTTGCATCTTTCTTCAAAGTGAAAAGTATAAATGCTTTATAGAAATAAGCTGAGTGTCTCTCATCCCTAGCTCTTTTAAATTCTTTAATTGAATGTAATATGCTTATATCATAAAGTGAACCTAGTAAATATTAAAAGAAAGTAATTCAAACGATCTAAATCCCAGAACGAGGCGAGGTTAGTCCCAATTTAAATTCTAGATCCAAGCTCAAGTACCTACACCATCTTTCCTCTCATCCCACTACTTTCCACCTCAACTTGTGTGTGTGGCGGAGGCTACCCGCCCGCTCCTAGCCTAAGTCAGATCTCAATTCTCCCAAACTCGACTATTTCCAGTTCTAGTCTCCCCAGAAACTTGCTAATAACTACCCTGATAAACCCATTAACGCTAATGTGTCAATGGCCAATTAAGCTACTCCTCCTAAATTACATCCTTGCATTTTACAAGGGCCTTGAAGACTTTAACCCAAAGGACTGATAACAGTTATAGTGGAATTTGCAAGAAGATAGATTTTGGAGATAACTGGCCTTTCGAATCGCAAGGTCTACTACGTCCCCTACTCCTTGTGCGTGGAGGCCTCTTAGAGTAGCAAGACCGGAAGTTGGTACAGGTATTGTTGATACAAAACAAAGCAAAAAAAAAAAACTTCCAGTGAGTGCGGCACGCTGGCCCCCTAGCCCAACGTCTTCAGTCCTCACTCGACGAGGGGGAGAGGACCACGACCGCAGTCCTGGGGGAGCGCTGGGGGCAGAGAAGCACTGTGTCTGGTTTCGGGCCTGCGAGCGCGGGTGCGCAGGTGGGGTCTGGGGCGAGGCGGCGCTGGCCCGGGTTACCTGCGGCGAAGTGGAGCGGGGTGGACTTCCTGCCCGCCGTGTCGCGGCTGTTCACCTTCTCGGGCGTCACCAGCCTCTTGACTCGCTCCACGTCCCCGTTGCGGCAAGCCTCGAACAGCTCGCGGGCGGCCGGCTCCACGGCCTCGGCCGCCGCGCCCGTGCAGGCCGCGCCCCCGCCGGCGCAGCGGCGGCCCGACATGATCCTGGCCGCCGCCGCCGCCAGCAGCAGCGCCAGCAACGGCAGCAGGAGCCCCGGCCCCGCGAGCAGGAGGGCGAGGCCCCCCGCAGGAGACGCGCTCAGGGCCCGGACCGCTCGGCTCCCTCCTGTCACCGGGCTCGGCGCAGTCCCATGGCCGCGCCGCCGCGCGCTCCTCGCTCGGCCCTGCGACCCCCGGCTGCTCCGCGGCAGCGTAAGCACCGCGAACCCGCCGTTCGAGCCCCCAAGCGACGCGGCGGCGGAAGGTGGCAAGGCCCCTCCTGCCAGCGCCGCGGAGCCCTGGGAGCGCACGTGACGTCGTGCCGCGCGTGCGCAGTGGTCGGAGGCCGGCCCGGCAGGTTTCAGCGAACCGGGCCGCGCGGAGGGGTTTGTGGGAAAAGTGAGGCGAAAGGCTTTGGCGGCTGGCGGAGTAGGGGCTTCGTCCCAGCGCCATGTTTGCGGTGGGTTTTGCTGAAGTCCAACGAGTCTGCTTATTGTCTTTTTTTAAGGCACAGATTTCCCGAGCTGAGTTCCCTTATTGTTACTACACTGAAAAGTGCCCTTGAAAGTTTTCCCTCGATCTTACATATTGTTTTGAAATTCTTTAGTGTGGAAATTTTCTATTTTTTTCAGCTTCCACAATCCCTTTCTCCTGGGGCATTTCTTTTCTGGTTTCTTTACTCTCTCTTCCCCCGCAACTCTTATTTTATTGTTTCTTGTAAGCCGTTTCTCGGAAATGAAGGAGTCTATCTCCACTTGATGGGAAGTTTTGATGAGCTGCCCCAAGATCATTGAAAGGAAATTAGGCAAGCGATGAAAGTTTGTTCCAATTCTAAATTAACGATAATCAGCTGTCATCTGATTAATTCTCTTTCCATAGTTAAGTTTATTAGCTCAGGAGTAACGAAAGGGCCAATACGTAAATCGTTATACTGACTTGGCTGAGGTGTGGATACACTGGGTTTACGCATCGCAGAAAAAACTTCATGTGTTGCAATTTTTGTGTTTTTTTTTTGACCATTGAACCAAGAAAAGCACAGAATTAATTCTCACGCTTAAGGTAGCGGTGTAGCTGTTGATGATCATTCCCTACTTTCCATGCACTATCCTCAAGAAACTGGTTAAAAGAAACGTATGCTTACATAAAATGATACATGTTGACATTTGGCATGCTGACAAGCATTTCCCTCCTTGTTGTTTTAACTTCTTAACCTGTTTTTCAGGAAATGCAGTTTTTATTTGGGAATGTTGACTCACTACTGTGCTAAAAGATAGAGGGTGTACACTTTGGGAGCGTTTTATAAATATGTAAATTATGTAATTATATAAGAGCATAATATATTTAGTATAAATTTAAATTGTTACATATTAATAAAATAAATAGCCATGAATGCATCCAAGAACTAGAACACAACTGATACTATTGCGTTTATCATTTTTCTCCCCATTTCATCCACTTGCCAAATGTATTCCCAATTTTGTTTATTATTCCCTGTTTACTACTTTGTCCTTATTAATCCCTTCCCATGTGTGTATCTGTCAACAGCATATTGTTCAGTTTTACATACTTGTTTTTGAGCTTTAAAAAAATGCCAGTCTTTGATCTTTTTTCACTTAAGGAGATGTTTGTCAGATTCATGCATTACTTTATAGAGTTGCCTTGTGTGAATATACCACAGATTTACAATTCTTCTAGCCATTTGGTTTGTTTCCAATTTTTTAAATTGTGAACAATAATGCTATGTATATTCTTATATATTCTCCTGGTGCACTTGTGCAAGAATTTAATATGAGAGCCTTTCAAACTTTTGACCACTACCCATAGTATAAGAAATGCAGTTGGTGTCTTCAACCAGTAAACACACTCACATGTCTAAAACAAAAGTTTCACAAAATAATAAAACAATATTCACCTCTCTAGTGTTTAAAAGATGCTAATTGTGACTGTCAGTAAATGGATTACAGAACTCACAAATGAGCGGTTTCCCAAGGTTTGAAAAACACTGCAGGAAAGGACTACATAGGAGTGGAATTGCTGAGTCATAGGGAACTAGAATGTTCACTTTACAAGGTAATGCCAAATTGTTTTTCAAAGAAATTGTTAATAATGTACATGCCCACCAGCAGCATGTAGGAGTTTTCTTAATCTCTGTCTCCATCAACCCTTGGTATTGTCAGGTTAATTTTTCCAATGTAGTGGGTGTAAATGGTATCTCAAAGAGGTCTTAGTCTGCATTTAAAAAAATACCTAATGAGTATTAGAGAAATGTAAATCAAAACCACAATGAGATATTACTGCACATCCATTAGGATAACTACCATCAAGAAAACAAGATAAGTGTTGGTGAGGATGTGGAGAAGTTGGAATCCTTAGTGCACTGCTGGTGAGACTGTAAAATGGTGCAACCGCTATGGAAAACAGTATGAAGTTTCCTCAAAAAATTTTAAATAGAACTACTGTATGATCCAATAATCCCACTTCTACGTATATATACAGAAGAATTGAAAGCGTGGTCTTAAAGACATATTTGCACGCTCATGTTCATAGCAGCATTGTTCACAATAGCCAAGAGGTGGAAGCAACCCGAATGTCCAGGAACAGATGAACGGATAAACAAAAGTAGTATATACATGCAATAGAATATTATTCAGCTTTAAAAAAGAAGGAAATCCTGTTATATACTACAACATGGATGAACCTTGAGGACCTCATGCTAAGTGAAGTGAGCCAATCACAAAAAGACAAATACTGTATGATTCCACTTATATGAAGTATATTAGTTTGTTAGGGCTGCCATAATAAAATACCACAGAATGGTTGGCTTTGACAACAGAAATTCATTTTCTACAGTTTTTGAGGCTAGAAGTCCAAGATCAAGGTGTTGACAGCTTTGGTTTCTCCTGAGCCTCTCTCTTTGATTTGCTGATAGTCATCTTCTCTCTGTGTCCTCACGTGGCCTTTCCTCTTTTCATGTGCATCCCTGGTATCTGTGTCCAAATTTCCTCTTTTTATAAAAGGACAGCAGTCGGATTGATTAGGGTCCACCCACATGGACTCATTTAACCTTAATTTCCTCTTTAAAGGCCCTATCTCAAGATATAGTCACATTCAGAGATACTAGAGGTTAGGGCTTCAACATATGAATTTAAGGGAGGCCACAATTCAGCCCATGACATGAAGTATCTAATGCAGCTAGATAGAAACAGAGAGTAGAGTGGTGATTATCAGAGGCTGGGAAGAAGAGGTAATGTGGAATTTATTGTTGAATGGGTGTGGCGGTTCAGTTTTGCAAGATGAAAAAGTTCTGGAGATCTGTTGCATAACAATGTGAATATACTTAATGCTACTGAACTGTACACTTAAAAATGGTTTAGATGGTATAAAAAGTGCAAATAAAGTTGAGTATCTTTTTAATGTTTTTTTTTTGTGTGAGGAAAATCAGCCCTGAGCTAACATCCATGCTAATCCTCCTCTTTTTGCTGAGAAAGACCAGCTCTGAGCCAACATCCATTGCCAATCCTCCTCCTTTTCTTCCCCAAAGCCCCAGTAGATAGTTGTATGTCATAGTTGCACATCCTTCTAGTTGCTGTATGTGGGACGTGGCCTCAGCATGGCCGGAGAAGTGGTGCGTTGGTGTGCGCCCGGTTCCGAACCCAGGCCGCCAGTAGCGGAGCGCGCGCACTTAGCCGCTAAGCCATGGGGCCGGCCCTGAGTATCTTTTTAGATGTTTATGGTCTTCAATAAAATGCCTACTTATGTCTTTTGTCTATTTATCTATTGGGTTGTTTGCCTTTCGCTATTGATTTGTGGGCATTCTTTATATATTCTGGATACTAATTGTTTGTCAGCTATATGCATTGAATATGTCTTCTCCCAGTTTGTAGTTTGCTTTTTTATTTCCCCAATGAAAAGATGTCTAAATCTTAATATAGTTGAATTTATAAATATTTTCATTTACAGTTGTGTCTCTGTGTGTGTTTAAGAAATTCTGTATTTTCTTCTAAATTTTTGCCTTTTGCATTTAAGTCGTTAATCCTTCTGGACTTGATTTTGGAGTATGGTATGAGATAGATATTCAATTTCTTTTCTTGTGGCTGCCTGGTGGCATATTGGTTAAGTTCACGTGCTCTGCTTCGGTGGCCCAGGGTTCGCAGGTTCGGATCCCGGGTGTGGACATACGCACTGCTTATCAAGCCATGCTGTGGCAGGTGTCCTGTATATAAAGTAGAGGAAAATGGGCACGGATGTTAGCCCAGGGCCAATTTTCCTCAGCAAAAATAGGAAGATTGGCAACAGATGTTATCTCAGGGCTAATCTTCCTCACCAAAAAAGAAAAAATTTCTTTTCTTTTTTTCCATATAGATAGCAAATTATCCTAGCACCATTTATTAAGAACTCCATCCTTTCAGAAGAGAGCTACAGTGCCACTTCAAGCTTCCATATATTCATGAGTTGGATTCTGGACTCTATTTCATTCCATTAATTGATTTATATATCCCTCCTTCAATACATCTTAATACATCTTCCAATACTATCTTAGTACAGCTTTGTAATAAATTTTGATACCTGGTAGGGCAAATCTCACAGTTTATTCTTCTTTGCTTTTTTCAAGGTTTTGCTCTCCCATATAAATTTTGGAATCAGAGTCTCAAGTTCCTTGAAAATTCCATTGGGATTTTGATGAGACTTGCATTGAATTTATAGATCAATTTGGGGAGAATTGCTATGCTAAGGATACTAAGTCCTCCCATCCTTGAACATGGCATATCTCTCTGTTTATTTAGGTCTTCTTTAATGAATTTCAATAAAGTTTTGTAGTTTCCTTCATATAGATCTTGCATGTCCTAGTTTTATTGCTATCATGAGTTTTTTTTTTAAGTATGACTTGTCAAACCACTGTAAAAAGCCATTTTTGAAGAACTTGGGGACATTATAATGTGGACTGGATATTAGATGATATTAAGGTATTGATGTTAATTTGGTTAGGTTAATATGTTAAAATGATATTCATTATGGTAAAAAGAAAAGATCTTTATCTATTAGAAGTTCATACTTAAGTATTTACTGGTAAAGTGACATGATGTTTTGTTTGTTTAAAATAGTTCATAAAAATAATATTAAATAGTTCATTAAAAAAATGAGGTAAGAGATAGAAGAATGGCAATTGATAATTGTTGAAGCTGGGTAATGGATACATGGGAGTTCATTATACTATTCTCTCTATTTTTATGTATGTTTGAAATTGTGCATAACAGACTTTAAAATTATATTTTCTAATTATTTTTTGCTAGGATATGTGTGTATGTATACAAATACACACACACACACACACACACATATATAGTCTTATCATCTGTGAATATGAATGTGTGAAA